CTGTGTGTGTATGTGTGTGTGTATATATATATATATATATATATATGTATATTCAGCAGTTCTGTCTGGTTCTTGAATCTGATAGCCTTGTAATATTCTGCCAGTAACAGCACTCGTCCAGCCTCTTAACTCTTCACTCGTGTATTACTCCGCACACATACAGCAACAAGCAGAGGACACGCTACAGTTTGACAAATATTGCAGCTGTCGGACAACATAATGTACTTTTGAGGCTTTTTTTTAGTCGAGAATGTAGATGTTTAGATTGCAACTTTGCACTTTATTCATAAGGATAGGGCCAATTTAAATATTTATCATTTCTGAGAGACAGCGCGTCGGCGGCCATTAAGCCTGTCTTTGAGCAGAGACTGTTGACGATGTTCATCCATAAGATGGCGACAGAGACCGCATAATAAGCCCTGAGAGAAAAACAGCGTAATTTTACACTACAGCTGATCAAATCATTATTAAACAGGTAAGTGACTTTCTAAGTCGATCCCTCTCTTTTGTATATTGTAGTGCTGTATTTATACCATAGTAATATTGTGATCTCCCGACAGAGAAATACTGAGAAACATCCCTAGACGGATGGCGTTTCATGCTGTTCAGCTTTATAATCCTTAAAATGTCAGATAAAATCAGCTGTTTTGTCATCACTTTAGACATTACGCTAGGGAATCATTCAAACACTAGCTCTAACGTGACGTTAGTAAATGAGCAACAGCTTCTGCTCCAGCTGTGAATGAATGGCGGAAGAAAGTAGTTCCTCCTACAATAGGGTTTTGAGACTCTCCGTGTTTGATTTTCTTTTTTATATACACGATTGTGCCGTCAAACTGTTGTATAAACACAATATCACACGAGTAGCAGTGCGATATGGCTGTATATCGTCATTGGTGGGACACTAAGCACAACACACACCTCCCATCAGTGCTAATATACAGCCACATCGCACTGCTACTCATGTGATATTGTTCATATATATGTATTATTTTATAATTTTGTTTTTATCTTATCTGTTGTTATCGTTTTATTAGAGGATTGTATTTTGTACATATATTATGTATGTTTTATTTTATTGTTTTGCCTCAATACTATTCGCTTTGCATGTTTATATTTAAACATGAGTTATTAGAAATTATTATTAAAACTATAATTTTTTAAAATGTGCTAAAAAACATATTCTCTTCATTAAACAGCACTTGGGAAATATTTAAAAAAAGAGCGCTAACCATTTAGATAATCGAACTATACATCCCAAACTATTCATAATAAATTGCAATCCTTCTGTTTTCTCCCAATATCAAAACACCCAACAACAAACACTTACTATATATTTTTAAAAGGGCTCCCAAATTATTCAGCACTGATGCCACTTGTTTTTCTTACCCAGCATTCTCAGACGTCCGATCTTATCCATGAGCAAAGCAGATACGATGTTCCCAGGCAGGACAGCAAGCGTGCCGAGGAAGCTGACGAAATAGATCATGTAGGCGTTGTTCTCGTCACTGAAATCCAGCATACAGCCCTCTTTATTATGCAGGAAGGTGCTGTTGATGAGTTTACTGTTGATCAGCCGGTACTTGAACAGATCTAGAAACAGATGAAAGCTCTTGTTACTAGCTACTGTATTCCTCCATCACACCAGCACATGTGGGAGTTCAGACTGCTGAGAATCAATAGATGGATGACATTTTTGACATTTGGGCTCACCACCAAAACATTAAGAGTCGTCTGCTGCCTTCAAAAGGCCATTTTACACAGGATATGGATGTTATAGTGTCTCATTCCACTGCCATTTAGGATTCATTTATTCATTGAGCTCTACCTTTTTAAGACAGCATTTTGCACGCTATGCCACAGAAAATGGCCAAAAACAGAAAGGGGTTTTGATGCATAAACATACACTGTAAAAATTCTATAAACTGTAACAATTTAAGTATAGTCTACAAAACCGACAAGTTAAATCAACTTAGATATGAAGGTTTTGGGAGACACCATTACTCAATTAAATTGAGGCAACGAGTTTACTCAATTAATTTAGTTTAGTCAACCTATTAGGGTTTTATATATACATATACATATATATACATGTATATATATATATATATATATATATATATATATATATATATATATATATATATATATATATATATATATATATATATACACAGTTGAAGTCAGAATTATTAGCACCCCTGAATTATTAGCGCCCCTGTTTATTTTTTTCCCCAATTTCTGTTTTAAAAACAACTGATTTATTTATCTTTGCCATGATGACAGTAAATAATATTTGACAGGACACTTCTATACAGCTTAAAGTGACATTTAAAGGCTTCACTAGGTTAATAAGGTGAACTAGGCAGGTTAGGGAAATTAGCTTAAGCTAATTATTTAAGCAAATTAGCTTAAAGGGGCTAATAACTTTGTCCCAAATATAGTTTTTTTAAAAATCAAAACTGCTTTTATTCTAGCCAAAATAAAACAAATAAGACTTTTTCGAGAGGAAAAAATATTATCAGACATACTGTGAAAATTTCCTTGCTCTGTCAAACATCATTTGGGAAATATTTAAAAAAGAAAAAAAAATCAAAAGGGTGCTAATAATTCTGACTTCAACTGTATATATATATATATATATATATATATATATATATATATATATGATTGCATGCGTGTGTGTAAAAATATAATTTCTAAACAAAAAATAAGTAGCCATTTATTCACATTATGATGAATAATTATACCTGAAGCCAATTGTTTTCAGATTAAAAAAAAAATACCTTGCACTTAAAAGGTTGCACATATAAAAATTTTACAGTCAAGACTACATTTGTGAAAGCAACCTATTTTTTTTTTCAAAGGAATAATTATTATTTTGAGCTCACTACTCCACAGTTGAAATCTTAAACTTATGCATTTTCATGGTACATACACTTGAGTCAGAATTATTAGCCCCCTTGTTAGAAATATTCGCTCCCCTGTTAATTCTTTCATCAATTTCTGTTTAAGGGAGAGAAAATTGTTTCAACACATTTCTAAGCATAATAGTTTTATTAGCTCATCTCTAATAAACTGATTTATTTAACCTTTGCCATGATGACAGTAAATAATATTTGACTAGATATTTTTCAAGACACTTCTATACAGCTTAAAGTGACATTTAAAGGCTTAACTGGGTTAATTAGGTTAACTAGGCAGGTTAGGGTAATTAGGCAAGTTATTGTATAATCATGTTTTGTTCTGTAGACTGTCGAAAAAAAATAGCTTAAAGTGGCTAATAATTTTGTCCCTAAAATGGTTTTTAAAAAATTAAAAACTGCTTTTATTCTAGCCAAAATAAATCAAATAAGACTTTCTTTCACTAAAATGCAAAATTTTAAGTTATGTTCAGTCAACTTTACTTAATTGTTTAAGCAAAGACAACATTAGGGTTTACAGTGTGAAACATTAAAGTAGCCGAATAGATAGAAGTTAACAGACAGAAGAAATAAATGGTAAAAATATCTGTGTATGTTGACAGCTCTCTTAATGCTGGAACTGAGCCTTTGTTTTTAAGCCTCATTATTGGTCCACAAGCTGCTCAGAGAAGTAATCATAAACGCCCAGCACGACTGAATCAGGAAAAGCAGATTGTCATTCCTTCGCAGACGTGCACAGGAACAATCCGAGCTGGTGTTGCTAGGAGACCTGAAACACTTTCAGTGCAGTCACTAGCGCAAGAATCTGGGGCCATTTTAATCGTGGAAAAAAAACATGACATATGAGTGTCCTCTTATAACATGGTATACACAGGAATCAAAAAAGGGAAATTCAATACCCTTTAAGACCTTTTATAAGATTCTTTCCATACAATTTAAGTAGGACTGCACAATATATCGTTTCAGCATCGATATCGCAACGTGTCTATCCGCAATAGTCACATCGCAGGGTATGCAATGTTCAGTTAGTACAAATGAGATCAAAATAACTATATTAACTTTGTAAGCTCACACAGCTAGTTTCGACACTAATCTGCTCAACACCAACAAGACCAAGGAGTTCATTGTGCACTTCAGAAAGGGACGAACAGGCTTATATGATCTCATCCACATCAATGGGATGGCCGTTGAGCATGTCTCATCCTTCAAGTTCCTGGGGACCCACGTCTCAAAGGATCTTTCCTGGACCACCAACACCTCCAGCCTAGTCAAGAAGGCTCGCCAGCGCCTATTTTTCCTAAGGCAACTTAAAAAGAACCATCTTTCATCAGCCGTTTTGGTGAACTTCTACCGCTGCACAATAGAAAGCATCCTGACCCACTGCGTCACAGTCTGGTATGGAAGCTGCTCTGTTGCTGAGCGTAAGGCACTGCAGCGGGTGGTGAAAACTGCCCAACGCATCACAGGGACCACACTGCCAGCCATAGAGGACATCCAGAAGAAACACTGTCTGCGCCCAGCACGCAGTATTCTTAAGGACACCTCTCACCCTGCTCACAGACTGTTTTCACTCCTGCTTCAGCCTCCCTCGGACAAAAACCAGCAGACTGAGGAACAGCTTTTTCCCCAGAGCTGTCTCCCTCTTGAACTCTGCCCCTCACTGACTCTTTTTCTATAACTGCACTTTATATCTTATACCTGTATCCTGCACTTGATGTTATTGCACTGCTGGTTAGACCTAAACTGCATTTCGTTGCATTGTTAAATCTAATATAATCTAGTTGAATCTAATGTAATATAATCTTGTGGTGAACAATTCATCTGTGTGTGTCATTAGGAGAAAAAAAAAAGTTTGCCCTTGTAATCTTTAAGTAAAGACTGAAAACGCACTTCCTGTTTGTTTTCAGTTAAACTGTCAGATTACGTCTGTCTGAGGTATTGGGCGTGGCTAACATACTTAACCACACCCTCTAGCTGTCAGTTTTGATTACAAACAGAAATAGTAAGAAGTCTTTTAGGTTGTATTAACTCTCCCCAAACACCTTTTCCTGGTCTTTCTAAATGAAATGCCTACTTTACTACATCCAATTAACTCTTAAGTAAAAAACAAACAAAAAAAACAAGCCACGCCCATTTTTTTTCATTAATGTTTCATTTCTCTAGGAACTGCGTCACAATATGAAAAATAAAATGGTCACATCTTCCTGTTCATATATACATTTAGACCCTGCGGACACCCTGTATAGACATTCATAGTTAGGAATGACTATGAATAATCTGAATGTGTCAAACAGCAGCGGTGTGTTTTAATAGCCAGAGGAGAGTGCAAACTGTGGTCTTCTCACCAGTGTTGTAGAAAAGGGTGGAGATGAAGGTGCAGTTTCTGAAGAAGGTGTTGCTTGAAGTGATATCCTCAAAGTAGCACTCCTCAAACAGAGAGTCTTCAAACACCATAGACTTCATCTTCAGATTCAAAAACCTTTAAACGGCAGATAAAAGATCCAGAAAAATATGCATTAGAGACATTCAGATTTTCCTTAGCTATTTTAAAAGTGAATCATAAAAGGTAATTGTCAATTTAAAGGTCCACATCTGATTTTTTGTTATAGTCAAAGGTCTGGAGAAATTGATTATAACAAAACTTGATTTTATTAAACATTGACAAACAGTTAAAGTCAAAATTATTAGCCTTCCTGTGAATTTTTTTAATCTGTTTCAAATGTTTTCTAAGTGAAGTTTCATAAACCAATTTCGAGAGGAGCACTACTGGCCGCTCATCTGTAATCAGTAATAATCCAATCAGAGTGATCCTAGTTTAATATAAATGGATCATTTTCTCCCTACTGCTCTATCTTCGTTTTAGAAGAATCCCCCCTTCCACCCCATCTCCACCTTTTCCTCCCTTTTCTAAAGGGGGAGCTCTCGAGACCTACCTTATCTCCTGATCTCGGATCTCCTGATATGCTTATTGACTGGGCGAGAGCCCTGGGCTTAAATATCTCAGAGCTCAGGGTTCTCTGTCGGGACAGCATATTAAAACTGCTATAAATGCTAAGCATATCTAAGTGGGAACTCTTGAAATGATACTTAACTGAGCAAGGAATTTTTCACGGTATTTCCTATAATATTTTTTTCTTCTGGAGAAAGTCTGATTTGTTTTATTTCGGCTAGAATAAAGCAGTTTTTAATAAAATTACATTAAAAAAACATTTAAAGGTCAATATTAGTAACCCCTTTAGCAATATTTTCCCCAATACATTCCAGGAGGTAAATTTTTTTGCAGTTTTTGTTTTTGCAAATCCACCAGAGGTCGCTGTGTACGCTTTTTGAGATCTCAAATTTCTCTCGTGAGTGCCATTCGTGCCTTATGTTCTGGTGTAAATCCACTACTGACCGATCGACTGACCCACCCTTCTCCTTCCCTAAACCCAACGAATTGGGTTTACAAATGCACAGATTGACCAGCGCCCACTCCGTTCCCTAAACCCAACCAACAGTGTTTTCAAAGGCAATCCAGAAAACGAAAAGCCTTCTCGGCCACCTGATTTTACCACGATTTCAGATTTACCACATTCTCACCCTGTTATTTACTTGTTTATTTTATTTTTTAAAAACCTTATAAGTAAAATGAATCAATGAATGAAAATAGATATAAAACTAAATTAACAGAACCTAATTTTTCCCCAAAGCTGTAAGATGCTAAAATACTACAACAAATACTAAAGAAAATATTGCTTGAGAGACTTTTCAATTCTGTTCGACTAAACTGCTAAACAATTTTCACTGTGCAAGAGAAACTTAGAAAAAAAAAAAAAAAAAAACGAGGCTGTTCAATCACACTGATATAGCATTCAATCTGGAATATTTATTTAAACCAAGCAGAATATCACAACACCACCCATCTCTTACCGAAAGGTCAGCAGTGTTTACTGAAATATGTTTAGCATACTGCCTGTGAGCGTCACTTACTTGTTGTTAAAGTACTCTCCATTCCGGTGGATCTGGTTCTCCAGCGTGAAGTTAAAGGTCACATGCTCCACTTTCTCTTTGATGAAGACCTTTGTGCGTGAGGAGTACTCCTGTTTCTGCAGATATTTGATCATATCGGGGAACCAAACAGTCAAGCCGTAGTAGCTGCAGGCAGAGGACGACAGACATGAAGTCATGCAGAGGGAAAAATATCACTGGAAGCTGCTGGAAGCCAAATATTGCATAGTGTACCTGAAGGACATGGAAAACCACACGGCCATCATCATGTAGGTGATCCTGCGATACTCAGGGTTGAACACTGTCAGGAAGTTGCCCCACACCTGGAAACCCAGAACAACAAATTATAAAAATAAATGTTGTATGCGAGTAAGTGTATTAGATCAGTGTTTCTCAACCATGTTCCTGGAGGACCGTCAGCTCTGCACATTTTCCATGTCTCCTAAACAAAACAAGTTATCCTAAAAACTAACAACAGTCATACTAAAATCTTAAATACTTTCATGCGGACTTTAAGACCTCAATGTATCACCGGGATTATTTTCGCATTGCCTGTATTGCATTTTGCATAGCTGTTGCATTTTATCAATCATCAGTTCACAGAAGCGAATCAGACGTCTTCACTCTACCTGGTGGAAGAGGTTCGTGAGTTTGATCCTCCAGCGCTGGTGCCAGGCTGTGGCTTCTCCACCCATGTCAACCAACTCATCCATCTGCTTCACTGTCTTAATGGTGGTGACCTGGAGATTTCACAGCATGCTTGAGAATGTGCCTCAATACTTTACAGGAGTCTTACTAGTTATCTGCTCATAAATAGCTGATATTTATCCTATTAATAATGACTATAAATATATTCTAGAAATATTCTAGATATAATTACTTACAAAACAAATGAGACAGGAGCAGTTTCTAATTAGGTAATAAGATTTACAATGCAAATTATTGAGAGTTACAGAACAATTAGTGCTCTTTGTGCTTCAATAATACTAAAATGAAACACGGCTGCATAATTTACATCTAAATAATAAGCTCATTTGACTCCCGATTCGGCCAGTTAAATGCAAACCCATTAGCATGCCTGCATAATTCATTTCAAATTCATATTGAGAAATTAAAATTCCCACAGATCACTTGCATCCTGAGGACAGATTTGCTAACAGCTTAGTTAAAACTACCATCAGGATTTACTAAAAAAAAATGCAGTAAAAATGAATAATTGATAAAGTGACTTTATTGTGTGTGGATTACAGTACAGTGCATCCGGAAAGTTTTCATAGCGCTTGACTTTATATGGTATGTTATATCTTTATGATATGTTACAGCCTTATTCCAAAACAAATTAATTTTATTGATTTTCTCAAAATTCTACACACAAAACGTCATAATGACAATGTGAACAAAAGAGTTTTTGCAAATTTATTAAAAATAAAAAAATTAAAAAATCACATGTACATCAGTATTCACAGCCTTTGGCCTGAAGCTCTAAATTGAGCTCAGGTACATTCTGTTTTCACTGGTCATTCTTGAGATGTTTCAATAGCTTAATTGGAGTTCACCTGTGGTAAATTCAGTTGATTGGACATGGTTCGAAAAGGCATACACCTGTTTATACAAAGTCCCAGGGTTGACAGTGCATGTCAAAGCACAAACCAAGCATGAAGACAAAGGAATTGTCTGTAGACTTCCGAGACAGGATTGTCCCGAAGCACAAGGCTGGGGAAGGTTACAGAAAAATTCTGCTGCTCTGAAAGTTCCAGTGAGTACAGCGGCCTCCATCATCCATAAGTGGAAGATGCTTGAACCCCCAGGACTTTTCCAAGAGCTGGCCCGCCATCTGAGTGATCATGGGAAAAGGGCCTTAGTCATGGAGGTGATCAATAATCCGATGGTCACTCTGTCTGAGCTCCAACATTCTTCCGAGGAGAGAGGAGAACTTTAAAGAAGGACAACCATCTGTGCAGCAATCCTTTAATCAGGCCTGTATGGAAAAGTGGCCAGACGGAAGCCAATCCCTGCCTGAAATTTGCCAAAAGGCATCTAAAGGACTCTCAGACCATAAGAAACATCTCTGGTGTGATGAGTCTAAAATTGAACTCTTTGGAGTGAATGCCAGGGGTTACATTTGGAGAAAACCAGGCACCGCTCATCACCAAGCTAATACCATCCCTACAGTGAAGCATGGTGGTGGCAGCATCATGCTGTGGGGATGTTTTTCAGCAGCAGGAACTGGAAGACCAGTCAGGATAGAGGGAAAGATGAATGCAGTAATGTACAGAGACATCCTGAATGAAAACCTGCTTCAGAGTGCTCTTGACCTCAGACTGGGATGACGGTTCATCTTCCAGCCGGACAATGACCCAAAGCACACCACCAAAATATCAATGGAGTGGCTTCACAACAACTCAGTGAATGAATAAGTGGCCCAGCCAGAGCCCATGTCCTATTAAACATCTCTGGAGAGATCTGAAAATGGCTGTACACCAATTCTTCCAATCCAACCTGAGCTTGAGAGGTACTGCAAAGAGGAATGGGCAGAAGTTCCCATAGACAGGTGAGCCAAGCTTGTGGCATCATGGCACAGACTTGAGGCTGTAATTGCTGCCAAAGGTGCATCAACAAAGTATTGAGCAAAGGCTGTGAATGCATATGTGATTTTTCAGTGTTTTTTTGTTTTTAATAAATTTACAACAATTTCAAAAAATATTTTTTCATATTGTCATTATGTGGTATTGTGTGTAGAATATTGAGGAAATCAATACATTTAATCCATTTTGGTATAAGGCTGTAACAAAAAATGTGGAAAATGAGAAGCACTATGAACACTTTCCGGATGCACTGTATAGAAGTTTGTCTTTCATGTCGGTGTCAATAGCCTAGTGGTTAAGTGCACCGACATATAGCACCATGGTGCTCACAGTGACCTGATTTCGATTCCCAGCTCGAGGTCCTATGCCGACCCTTTCCCTCTCTCTAGTCCTAATACTTTCCTGTCTGTCCTCCACTATCCTATCCCAATAAAAGGTGAAAAACCCCTAAAACATAAAAAAGAATAATAATAATAAAATAAGTTTGTCTTTCAGATACAACATTTATAAGAGGAGAGAATTTAAATGAATTGTTCAATGTGATTTAAGAAGGCTTCTACTATTTTTAAAGCTTAAACAAGCACATCCTAACCCGTGTTGAGCTTGAAATGCAGTGATAGCTGTTGTATGAGGAGACAAACTAACAAGGAAAGAAGAAGTATGCTGTTATTATTAATTGAAGCTTTTGTTAAATTATGTTGGTCATTATGGAAATGAGCTGCTGCATCTGTTTTTACTGCCAGTAAAAACACCTGTGGAAATCTATACTCCCATCTGCGCTTTATTAGGATTTTATGGGGTCTCGTGCTAATTAGACCTGTTTAATAAATCTGTCACCCAAAGTTATTATTGTTTCTGATAAGATGTGTGTAGCTGTACTCACAGAGAAAACTCTCTCCGGGTATCCCTTAGCCCTCATGTTGGTGTCATGAACCTGCTTTAGAATCATCCAAGCTTCGTCGTGCTTCCCGTTCTGTTAAAACACACATTTCATTTGGGAATTAGTAATGTTGTGGATTCACAAAGCTGTTCACTCCAGATAAAATTGGATTAAACTTTCAAAGCATGTCTATGAAACACCTAATGGGTATTAATGGGTATATTGTAAGGAGGCTCTATTATCAAAGTAAGCCATCTACAATTTGATAAATATTCTCATGATATTAATGCATACTGTTATATAGACCATTTCAATTTGGTCATGCCATTGGTCCATAAACATTTCCGGTTTGTTATCAAACTATTTCATAACCATAATAAGAGGCATTTCAATCTAACTTAATGTTAAAATGGCTATCATAACATTATTTTGGCAATATTTGGCTTTTTTTAAATCTCGGAAGCTATAGAAATTAAACATGCAAAACAGGAAATACGTTGGGACCATTGTTTTTGTTTACGTCCCTTAAAAATGGTCTATATTATAGACTTAATACAGAGTTGCAAATGCAAAAAAGAAATTTACTAGAAAAGACACTTTGAGATTATTGATCTCTTTCACAGTAGTGTCTTGGCCAAAATTATGTTAATAGTAGCTCTACTGCTAGAAAGATTTGAGTTTTATATTAGAAAGCAGCTTAACTTTTGAAAACCATATCTCACATGTCACAAAACCAGCCTTCTTTCATCTGAGAATCATCATCGCTAAGTTACGAAGCATGCTGTCTGTTTCAGATGCAGAAAAGCTAGTTCATGCTTTTATGACTTCTAGACTGGATTACTGTAATGCTCTGTTCACCAGTTGCCCAGCATCCTCTATTATTAAACTTCAGTTAGTGCAAAAGCATGTCTATAATGTGTCTCATTTACACTCAATATGTTATTAATGTATACTGTTATATACTACAAACTTAATATGGAGTGGCAAATATGTAACACTTTTTCCACTAATAGGTATTTTGTGTAAACAGCATTTATAGCAATAAAGTTTCCCTTTTGATTTTATGTTGACTTGATTATTTGTATTTAACCAGAAAAGACATGCTGAGACTATTAATCTCTTTCACAGGAGTGTCCTGGCCAAAATGATACAAAGTTAGCATTAGTTCTACTGTAAAATAGTGTTATATTTGACAGCAGCTCAACATTTGAAAACCATATCTCCCATGTCACAAAAACAGATTTCTTTCATCTGAGAAATATCGCTAAGCTATGAAGTATGCTATTTATCTCAGACCGAGAAAAGTTAGTTCATGCTTTTATGACTTATAGACTGGATTACTGTAATGCCCTGTTTGCTGTATGCCCAGCATCCTCTATTAACAAACTTCAGTTAGTGCAAAAGCATGTCTATAAGACACATCATGGGTATTTATTAAGAAGGTCTTTATGGGTATGGCTAGAGTTAGTGCTTTGTTATTACAATAAGGCATCCACAATTTGATAAATATTCTTATTTACACTTAGTATGGTAATAATGCATGCTGTTACTGTATATACTATAGACCAGGGGTGCTCAATCCTGTTCCTATAGATCTACTAATCTGTACAGTTTAGCTCCTACCCTGATCAAACCCACCTGAACCAATTAATTAGGACCTGAAATCCACTTGATAATTACAGACAGGTGTGTTTGATAAGGGTTGCAACTGCAGGAAGGTAGATCTCCAGGAATAGGATTGGCCACCCCTGCTATAGACTTAATACTGAGTTACAAATATTGAACAATATTTTAACTAAGATTAGCAATCTAGTGTAAATGGCATTTATAGCAATACATTTGATGTTGGCTTGGAATTATCTATATTTAATTTTATTTTATTTAACCAGAAAAGACACCCTGAGATTAACCTCTTTCACAAAAGTGTCCTGGTTAAAATGATACAATGTTAGTATCTGCTCTACTGTAAACTATTTGAGTGTTATATGAAAACCATTTCACCCATGTCACAAAACAGCCTTCTTTCATCTAATAAATATCGTTAAGCTACAAAGCATGCTATCTATCTCAGACCCAGAAAAGCTAATTCATGCTTTTATGACTTCTATACTGGATTACTGTAATGCTCTGTTCACTGGTTGCCCAGCATCCTCTATTAATAAACTTTGGTTAGTACAAAAGCGTGTCTATGAAACACCTAATGGATATTTATTATGAAGGTCTTTATGGTTATGGTTAGAGTTAGGTGTATGGAGGCTTTATTATCATAGTAAGGCATTCACAATTTGATAAATACTCTCATGTACACTCAATATGGTATTAATGTACAATGTTATATACGGAGGTGTAAATATCTAACACTATTTCCATTAAAAATAGGTATTTAGTAGAGCTGGGCAAAGGTTATTTGTTATTAATCGCATCTAAAATAAAAATGCAAAATAAACGTTTGTTTTGACATTATATACGTGTGAGTATTATATATATTTATTATTGACCATACATGTTTTAAATCTAAATATAAATCAATTTAATATAAAATAATATTAATTGTTAAATACATGCACTCACATTTATTATGTCAAAAATACTTTTACTGGATGCGCTTAATCCAAATTGCCCAGCACTAGTATTTAGTGTAAACGGCATCTATAGCAATGAATAGTCTATTTTGATGTCATGTTTGCTTGGAGTTAGTACTATTCTGCATGTTTTACATCTAGTATTAACCAATGACAAGATCATCACTAACCTCCAGGTAGAAGCGTGGGCTCTCAGGCATGGTGGTCAGAGCAGCGATAGCAGCGACGGATGGAAACGCACACACCAGAACAAACACTCGCCAGCTATGAAACTGGTAGGCTGATCCCATCTGGAAGCTCCAGCCTGGTTAAAAGGATCAAAAGAGACTTTATCAATGGATTACACTAATATATGCATATGCAGTCAAGAATGAATTCAAAATAATTTAATGTATCAAATTTATTAGCATTTTTTTTTTTTTGGATTGCAAATTTTTAATAGTTAATGTAAGCGGTGAAGATCTTTTCGTCCCTGTTGGGTGAGAAAAAAAAAGTAGGATGGGACTTGATTTTGTCCATTAAGAATTGATTAGATGGTTTGCGATTGGTGGATCTCATGTGATTGGCAAGTTGATCCCCCCCCACCCCCCTTAAGCCATTTATGGTTTATTATTAGTGGATCAAATGTGTGTGTATATATATATACACTGTAAAAACGCCAACTTTCAAAAAGTCCTCTGAACAAAGATTAATAAGTTAACTGAATTTAAATATTTTCATTTGAAATGCTGACAAATAATAGTTAGTTTGTTCAACAAATATGGTGCTTCAATGTGAAAAACTTAAAATATTTCGTTGAACTAATACAAAATTCTTAGTTTTGCGTTGATGCGTGCCCTTCTTGTTGGCGCATGCGCCTTATAAGCTTCTGGCGCATGCGCAATTTACTTCCATAGCTCACTGCAGGGGGTACCTGTCACGTGCGCGCGACAAAACGAACCATCTTTCTTTCTGCGGAGCTACGTGTCAATCGTTTTCATAATCGATTGTATATAATTGTATACATGTTTTTGTGCGATGTGCTACCCATCTGACTGCCCGATCTATTTTACCAGTGTATTAATGATGTGAGAGACCGTGATAGAGCGGTTAAGAGTAGTGGTGGGCAAAGCGAGGCTTCGTGAAACACTGAAACAGTCGAAGCAAATGTGTCGAAGCTTCGAAACGTTTCGAAACCTCACTCTACAGTGACATTTAGTGGTTATTTTTTATATATATATTTTATATATATTGCACTGAAACAGCTTCAGCAAAGAACGATTGAACAAATTGAGGGATTAAACCCCACTTTGTGAAAATGGAATCCTACAAGTAACATAGTACAGTGGTTAAGGTGTCAAACATCTAGGCAGGAGTAGTAGGTTTCGAAGCCAGTCAGTAGCAGTTGTTTTAAAATGCTTTAATACCAGTTGGTAATGCTTTGCTCTTGTATCGTTTTGTTTCAACATTGGTCTGATATCCGAATAAACAATTTGTGAATAAATATGTCTTGTTTTTGTCTTAAAACAGGGTTGTTGCTAGATCAAAAACGGTGGCCTGAAGTTATCAAGAATTATTTATATTATTCATTAAATTTCCCATTTATTGTATTTTATTAATGTCTACCCAAACCCTAAACCCAACCATACTGTAAAAATATTTATTATTGTTTTACAGTGTTACAAAAATGATGCTAAATTGATGGCGTAACTGTAGCTGTATCCTATTTAGGCTACACAAAACAGAAACATGATTAAAATACATAAAACCATGATTTCGAAGTCGGGATTCGCACCCAAAACATCATGCTAAGCATAGAATCAATAAGCAAACCCACAGTGCTCTAAGCCATTTGAGACAGAGATAATTAGGAGACCTTGGCAGTCAAATTAGGATTCACCAGGTCTCGAAACGTTTCTAAGCTGATCGATGCTTTGAATCGCTTTAGTCACGTGACTAGGTGTTTCGAAACACTTTAGTCACGTGACTTGGGTGCTTCGGATCATGCTTCGGTGCAGTGATTCGAAACACTTGCGCTTCGGGATCTCGACACTGTGTCAAAACATCAGTTTCACGTCAGCCATCCCTAGTTAAGAGCAGGCCAACAACGTTTCTGCTAAATCATAGGTATGTATGTCTTTTTTTGTTATCATCTAACGTTATATTATTTGATATGTTGGCTTTGATGTGCGCGTGTATCCTAATACGGAACTATTTGTTATAATTTAGCCGTGAGTTACTTGTTTCGTGCACTTGGTTTTGGCTATTTACATCAATAAAAGTTTAGAGTGAATGTATTTGAAACAAATAGCGATTTCAATCGAGTCATTTGCTTTAATAACTCACGATTAATACAATGAGTCTCATATAACATACCAGATCAGGTATCCAAGTCAAATATAACATTATGTCCTGTTTATCTAGATTGCTGTCAGCATTGCGCACATCATAACCTTTTTTCCCTTCGAACCAGAGCCAGTGGAACAAACGGTGACGTGTTTAACTGTGTAATTTGTGTGAAAATCGTGTGATTTTCATGTAATTCATTGCTTGATTTGTTAGCTCGACTAAATGTCTATCATATTCAGACCAACTTGCTTTAACAGTCAGCTAGCTTTTATTTACATAAAAAATATAAAGGGCTAAATATATATTTTTCTTTCTTTTTGCTCAAAAGGACTGAAATATTGACAATGACATAATTCAATGCAAGATTTCCTTGAGGAGGTGAGACTTGTTATCATCAGTGAAATTTGACGGTCATTCACCAGCAGATGCAAGAAACCTTTTCTCTTTGCCCAAAAGAAGTTGTTGAGATTTAGCCAGGAAGAAATTAGAGAGAGATAACCTGGACTTTAAGGAAGAGGTAAGTCACTATATTGCAATTGCTTTGGTTTCATTCAAGGTAGTAATGATAATGCTAAAAATAACAAACAACATTATTATTATAGGTAATTCAAAATACATCTGTATTCAGCATTTGAACATTTAAATATTTACATTTACACACACATATATATATATATATATATATATATATATATATATATATATATATATATATATATATATATATATATATATATATATATATATATATATATATTATGTGTAAAAATTAATATGTATGTTTTTTTGTATATTGTAGATCTGCACAGAGTTTTCTCAGATCTGTAATGTAGATCTCCTGAGACAGTTAATCGAGTGACTTGATAAATATACAGCACCTCTCCTGAAACTCTACAGAAAAGAAGGGATTCAATGGGTCCAGAGATGGATACAACTTTAAACAAGATGGATGAGCAGGTACTCATTAAGATTTTTTTTTTCTTATACACCCGTCTGATGTTTTTAACATGTGCAACATATTTTGTCCTGTCAAGAATTTCATGCTCAGGTAATACAGTCTAATAAAATGTAATTGCAACAATTTAATTGTCCAGCCCTTTTGCATTAATTTTAATTGTGTCAAGTTGTGTTTTGATTGTGAGATGGAAGTAAGATAAATAACAGATGTTTCACTTGTTTTGAGTGACCATTTCAAATGAATACATTCAAAGAGGAAAATAGAAAATAATAGCTGTAGTTTTTAACTCAAAGTAATTGTCACATGAAACTAAACATTTTTCTAAATTTGCCAACACAACCATTATCAAATTCCATTGTATGGAAACCACAAAATTCTTTTTTAAAAATAAAGCCATGTGTTTTTCAACAGCATGAATAAAATACTATGCTCATTTAAATGTACTAAGTACATTTTTACTTACAAAACAATAAGATTGTAAAACACCCTTTGTAAATGACTTTCCTTTAGGTCACTGATATTGTCACCGATCGAGAAAGAGCAGCTCTTGAGGGATTGCCAATTTTTCTTCGTAAAAATTCTGCTTGCTTTCTCAAGATATGTCTGGTAAGTTACCCATTTTCATACCCTATTCTACATTTATTAGTCTGCTTGGTAACACTTTTAATAGCTGCACGCTATAAATAATTTATTTAGTATTAGCGAATAGTTAATTTATTTTCTGTTAAGCATAACTCTACATGAAGTGCTCAATGATTGTATTTTTTTTAACTTTAATGATTCATTTGTATTACTAATTTAAGTATTGCATTATTTACAAACCAGTTATTTAAGAATAGTTGGTGTTTTTAAGATCATTCAGAATGCTTAAGTACACGATTAATAAACTATTCAAATTAACATTTAAATATCCTAATATTAAGGTATGTAATAATAGTTACTTTGTATGTTAGTATATGCTTTATGAGCTTAACTTCATCCAGTTGTGACCTAATCTAAAGTGAGGACTATTTATGCTTTATAAATCCCTTATGAATGACAATTAAAGGCTCAGTTATATTCTAAACAGGACAATAAACAACTTTCACAATTGAAACTGTATCAAATAAAAGTAAATCTTTGCAATTTTATGTAAAATAAAAGTTTAAAAAATTGCTAAATATTAAAAAGTTGTCAATATATTGTTCAATTATTATATATTATAGACTATTCAAAGTGTTACTGTTTGTATGTACAAAAGTATTACATGTTTTTATTTTCTTTGCATAATAGTAATAACATTAATAAGTAGTAATTAATATTACACATCAATTAATTTTCCCATTACTTAATCTCCTATAAGGACACGGACCCTGAAGACCACAGCACCAGAGATTAAAGGATTGGAATCTTCACTGTGGTGGAAGATGATAATGGCACTTCTGCATCCCTGCAATATGTGATGAACCTCGCTAAAATCTTGGAGGAGGCCATAGTACTTCAGGATATCACACATCTGCCTGCAGCCTTCGCTTACTTGTTCAGCCTCTTGTATAGACTGAATATGGAACACCCAAAAGAACTCAAATATACTTTTTAAGTGATTCAGCATGTTTTATGGAGGTTGGTGGCACATGATCTGCGAGAGTTCAGTTCATTCATTCATTCATTTTCTTTTCGGCTTAGTCCCTTTATTAATCTGGGGTCGCCACAGCGCAATGAACTTGTTTTACGCAGCGTATGCCCTTCCGGCTGCAACCCATCTCTGGAAAACATCCATACACACTCATTCACACATACACTACGGACAATTTTAGCCTACCCAATTCACCTGTGCCACACGTCTTTGGACTGTGGGGGAAACCGGAGAACCCAAAGGAAACCCACGTGAACGCAGGGAGAACATTCAAACTCCACACAGTAACGGCAACTGACCCGTGACCACTTCCTAATGTGCCACTGTTTCAATGTTTTGAGGTCTGTTTTTGGACTTTATGTACTTTGTTGACAAAAGTGCAGTACACTTTAAAGACTGTATGAATGGAGTGGCTTTTAGGGTTTACTCTGATTAGATGATTGTATATTCACCTGGTTTGAGTGTTTAGACACACTAATAGCTTGGTTTTAGTAAGGTTGCCAGTTATTTTATGTTGAGGCAGTGTACAATCTTTTCAAATCTGGAAACATTCAGTACTAGTTGTGTACAAACTAGCCCAATGCTGAACACGGCTAATGTCAAATGCTGATTTTGTATGCAAATGTTTTGGATTGTGATTTGAACACAGTTAAAAATAAAAAAAAGTGAATTGACTATTCTTGTGTATTTAATTTGAATCCTAAAAATTAATAGTAAATGCATAATGAATCAGTTTGTTTTATTTTGTTCAGTAAACTAAAAAAATCTTGTTGGGTAAACATAATCATTTTTGTTCAGTAAACAAAAGATCTTGTTGAATAAACGTGAAAATTTTTGTTCAGCAAACAAAAGATCTTGTTGAGTAAACATGATAATATTTGTTCAGCAAACAAAAATATCTTGTTGGGTGAACATGACATTTTTTGTTCAGCAAACAAAAATATCCTGTTGGTTGAACATGATATTTTTTGTTCAGCAAACAAAAATGTCTTGTTGGGTTAACATGATATTTTTTGTTCAGCAAACAAAAATGTCTTGTTGAATGAACATGATATTTTTTGTTCAGCAAACAAAAATATCCTGTTGGTTGAACATGATATTTTTTGTTCAGCAAACAAAAATATCTTGTTGGGTGAACATGATACTTTTTGTTCAGAGAACTAAAGAATTCAACAAAATATTTTGAGTTCACTGGTCTTCAAACCCTGTTTGTTGAGTTAACTCAAAAAGCTATGTGTGATAGGTTGCCTAATTATTTTAAGTTTACTCAACTTTTTTTTTTTACAGTGTATATATATATATATATATATATATATATATATATATATATATATATATATATATATATATATATATATATATATATAATCTTTATAATTTTAATTATGAAACTTTTATGATGACAGATTACTAGAACAACTAAAAAATTTTATAAATTAAAATAAACCAGCAGAGGTCACTGGAAAACATTCACACTCACACCAACTACAAATCCGCCAGTTCATGGACTACAACTTCATACATGCACTCGTTCACACACGTTCTAGATCTTGACTGATTACACTCGCACAGCTGAAGCTGCTTAAGGACTGATTCATGGACTATAAGTACTACTCAAATCGGTTAAGTGACATTGTAATGCATTTTCCTTTGTCTTGTTTTGCTGTGTTTTTTGATCCTTGCCTTGTTTATTTATTTAATCCTGTTTGCTGACTGCCTTTTGACCACTTTGACCATGACTATGACTCTGGATTGCCCTTATACATCTGTTTGCCCCTGGGTTTACCATTGCTTGCCTGACCATTCTAATAAACCTGCATGTGGATCCTCACCTCTGTTGTCAGAGTCTCTCCCCTGGTTACAGAAAAAAAAACACGGCAAAACAAGACAAAGGAAAACGCATTGTAGTGTCACTTAACAGATAACAAGACTCAGCAAAAGTGTTTGTGTTTGAGCTGTACTTATAAGCCATGAATCAGTCCTTAAGCAGCTTCAGCTGTGCGAGTGTAATCAGTCAGGATCTAGAACGTGTGTGAACGAGTGCATGTATGAAGTTGTAGTCCATGAACTGGCGGATTTGTAGTTTGTGTGAGTGTGAATGTTTTCCAGCGACCTCTGCTGGTTAGATCGCTGATAATTATGACAATATTATTATTATTGTTATTATTATTAATACTTTTATATAGCTATTTAAAACTATTAAAGTTAAAAAATGTGGCTGTAACTTGCTCTTTTATTTGTAAGTGTGACTTTGTAAATGGGAAAATTCTTGTTATGTCAACTTAGCTTTAACATTCTGCTATGTCAGGAGACTTTTAACCTTTTTTTTAACATCCCTGCAGTCTTTATTGATCAACACACAACAACTGGTGAAAGTGCTTTCAGTAACATCTCCAGCTAAGGTCACCGCTTGAGTCTCCTGTGGATTAAACAGAGATTGGGTTTCTTGCTGAAGGGCAGCGTGGTGACGGTTAATGGATCTCCAACACTTCATTAACCAGGCTAAGATCAGTTAACCGTGATGTTCATGTGCTGGTTACCGTAATGAGGAATGATGGCCCAGGCCATGGCGGCGGCGTAGATTCCTCCGATCATCCAGAACATGCAAAGCCAACTCAAGTGCTCCCCGCGTTTCTCCTGAGCCAGGAACTCAGAGTAATAAGAGAACACGATGGGGATCGAGCCGCCGATTCTACAGCAACAAACAGACAAATGCACAGATTAGGATACCTCAATTTTTTTTAAATGGATACTGTACCACAATGTGCAAAATCGATTTATATCACCTTAATCTTAAGAAAAAAAATCTTTAACACTGGAAAACTAAACATTTATTAAGTATTGATTATTGGTTAAATTCATTTATTCAGCCGATAGTCATAAAAAGGATAACTGCTTTAGCCAGGAAAAGCATTAGATCAGTGTTTCTCAACCACGTTCCTGGAGGACCACCAGCTCTCACATTTTCAATGTCTCCTTGACCAAACACATCTATCTATCTATCTATCTATCTATCTATCTATCTATCTATCTATCTATCTATCTATCTATCTATCTATCTATCTATCTATCTATCTATCTATCTATCTATCTATCTATCTGTTATATTATTATTATGAATAAATATCGCTTATGTGCAATAATAATGAGATATTTAGTAAAATGTGTTGATGCCGAATCTTAAAACCTATAATTGAAGTACATTTTGAGTTAACTCCTATTTGAATTACAAAAAGGTGTTTTGTGTGCTCAATGACAACAGTACTGCAATTAACAAAAACCTAATCTAATTTAATAAAAATCGAATAAACTCTAAACATTGATACATTAAAACTAGCATTAAACATATCTGTGTGCCATTTTGAATGTCAAAATTGTATTAAAGCTTGTAAAATGGCAGGAAGCAAAATTAAAATTGAATGAAAATGTGAAAAAAGTAACTATAATTAGTATAGTTATTGATCAAGTAAAAAAAATTATCAAAGTTTTTCTCAACAATTAATATATCTTTATGATACAGTCGAAGGCAAAATATAAGCAATTTTTGCTATTATTAGTTAGGCTAAATAGGCAAGTGATTGCACAACAGTGGTTTGTTCTGTAGCCAATCAAAAAAAAAATATATATATATATATATATAAATAAATTTTTGGTAACACTCTACATTAAAGTTCATTAGGTAATGCATTTACTATCATGAACTAATCATGAACAACACTTGTTTAGCATTTATTAATTATAATTGAACATTTACTAATGCATTATAAACATCCAAGTCCATGCTTGTTAACCTTAGTTAATGCACCGTGAGTTAACATGAACTAACAATGAACTACTGTATTTTCATTAACTAACGTTTACTAACATGACTAAATACTGTAAATGTAATGTTCATTATTTTTTCATGTTAGTAAATGCATTACTTAACATTAACTAATGAACCTTATTGTAAAGTGTAAATTTCTTTTTTCTTTTTTCTTTTAATTTTTCACCATATTTCCTATAATATTTCTTCTTCTGGAGAAAGTCTTATTTGTTTTATTTTGGCTGAAATAAAAGCAGTTTTTAATTTATTAAACACCATTTTAAGGTCAATATTATTAGCCCCTTTAAGCTATATATTTTGGTGGTATACAGAACAAACCATTGTTATACAATAATTTGCCTAATTACCCTAACCTGCCAAGTTAGTCTAATTAACCTAGTTAAGCCTTTAAATGTCACTTTAAGCTGTATAGAAGTGTCTTGAAAATTATATAGTCAAATATTATTTACTGTCACCATAGCAAAGATAAAATAAACCAGTTGTTGAAAATAAGTTTTAAAACTATTATGTTTAGAAATGTGTTGAAGAAATCTTCTCTCCCCCAGAATTTGGGGGAAAAAATAAACAGGGGTCTAATAATTCTGACTTCAACTGTATATATAAAAGAGTACAGTAAATGTGCATCATCATTTACCCCACACCGGAGAGCAGACGACAGAAGAGGAAAGAGCTGTATCCTTGGACAAAGGAGGAGAAGAAAGCAAACACACTGTTGATGGAGAGCGAGATGAGAAGAGTCTGTCTGCGGCCGATTCTGTCAGCCAATCCACCCCACACAAATGCTCCCACCATCATCCCCAAATACACGATCAGACCTAAGAGGCACAAAGAAACAGAGGATCAATAACTACGCACAAGACAGAAAATCAAAGTCCCCAATAAAGCAGGACGACGGGCTAAATGACATTTTGGAAATGGAGCTACAGGATCTAGAAATGATTAAAATGTCAGAGTGTCTTAAAGGCATACTGTAGTTCACCCAAAAATGAAAATCCTGCCATCGTTCATTCACCTTTCACATATTCAACATTTTTGTGAGTTTCTTTCTTCTTTTAAAGACAAAAGAAGATATTTTGAAGAATGCTTGCAACCAATCAGCAGTAAGAGGTGTGTCTAGTAAATATAGTGAAGGTATGTTTATTTATTAATCTTATGACATAAAAGCAATCTTACATGACCCAACCAAATGCACAAGTGCTCTTCCTCATTAGCATTTAAGTGTATGGTTATAAATAGGGCTATGCAATTAATCGCAATCGCAAAAAAATCACAACTTAAGCACGCGCAATTTCTAAATCGCAAAAGGCTGCAATTTATATCTATTATTTATTTAGAATTTTATTCAGAATATGTTCTTGTGCGCATGATATTAATATGTTAACCAATCAGAGCTTACGTTGCGCACCGGGCAATTATAGCTATTATGTTAACCAGCTCACTCTGCGCATGACGAAGTTGAGTGGGAGAACTGAATAGGCGAAGCAGGAGGAAAGAGCATAAAACATGGATGCAGGTCAAAATAAAAATGATTTGGTGCCAAGGAGAAATTCAATGACAGTCATTTTGGAGTATTTTTGAAATCAGGAGAGAGGATGTGTCACAGAGCAAGGCAATTTTTAAGACTTGTGAAATGATTATTCCAACAAAACGGAGCAATACTACAAATCTGATCCAACACTTAAAACAGTGTCATAAAAAACTGCATGATCAACGCATCTCCACACAGTGCATCGAAACAAACAAAAGCACACATAAAAGCCAGCCCAAACAGACTAAACTAGTATCCATTTCTCAGGCATTTGCAAGCGCCGTGCCTTATGGGTAAGGGTCAAAACGACACGAAGAAATTACTGACTCACAGTTTTGTTATGCACTTCTTGTGCACTGAATGCATTTAGAATGTATGTAGCTTGTTTGAAAAAGCAAAAACAGTTGCCAAAATCGCAAATAAAATCGCAATCGCAATATGATTATTCTGTCCATATTGCACAGCCCTAGATATAAACTAGCCTAGAAGATCATCTGCTGTTAAAAACTAGCTTAGAGTGTAATTTGCAGTTAAAAATGAACATAGAGTGCCGTCTGCTGTTAAAAAGTAGCCTAGAGTGTCATCTGCTGTTAAAAACTAACCTAGGGCACTATCTGCTGTTAAAATCTAGCCTAGAGTGCCATCTGGTGTTAAACATTAGCCAAGAGCACAGTCTCCTGTTAAACACTAGCACCATCTGCTGTTAAAAACTACTATAGAACGCGACCTATCTTGAAGTCTAGCCTAGAGTGCCATCTGATGTTAAACATTAGCCTAGAGCACAGTCTTCTGTTAAACACTAACGCCATCTGCTGTAAAAAACTAGCATAGAACACCATCTGCTGTTACAAACTAACCTAGAGTGCCATCTGCTGTTAAAAACTACTATAGAACGCGACCTATCTTGAAGTCTAGCCTAGAGTGCCATCTGATGTTAAACATTAGCCTAGAGCACAGTCTTCTGTTAAACACTAACGCCATCTGCTGTAAAAAACTTGCATTGAACACCATCTGCTGTTAAAAACTAACCTAGAGCACCATCTGCTGTTAAAAACTATCCTAGAGCGCTGTCTACTGTTTTAATCTAGCCTAGAGCACAGCCTCTGTTAAAAACTAGCCTAGAGCATTATCTGGTGTTAATAAAAACTAGCCTAGAGTGCTGTCTGCTGTTACAATCTAGCCTAGAGCACCATCAATTGTTAAAATCTAGCCTAGAGTGTCATCTGCTGTTATAACCCAGCCTAGAGCATCATCTGCTGTTATAATCTAGCCTAGAGCACCGTCTGCTCTTAAGATCTAGCCGAGAGCATCATCTGCTGTTAAAAACTAGCCTAGTGCGCCATCTGCTATTGAAAACTAGCATAGAGCATCATGTGGTGTTAAAACTAGCCTAGAACGCCATCTGCTGTTAAAAACCAGCTTGCAGCGCCATGTTATGTTAAACTCAATCTAGCCAAGAGCATCGTCTCCTGTTAAACACTTTACTAGTGCGCCATCTGCTGTTCAAAAAACTAGCCTAGAGTGTCGTCTGCTGTCAAAAACTAACCTAGAGCACAGTCAACTGTTAAACACTAGCCTAGAATGCCATCTGCTGTTAAAACTAGCTAGCCTAGAGCACCATCTGCTGTTAAAATACAGCCTAGAGTGCCATCTGCTGTTAAAATACAGCCTAGAGTGCCATCTGCTGTTAAAAACTAGCCTAGAGCGCAGTCTCCTGTTAAACACTAGCCTAGAATGCCATCTGCTGTTAAATCTAGCTAGCCTAGATCACCATCTGCTGTTAAAATCTAGCCTAGAGCGCCATCTGCTGTTAAAAACTAGCTTAGAGGGCCATCTGCAATTAAAAATTAGCAAAGAGTGCAATATTGTGTTAAATACTAGCCTATAGCACCATCTGGTGTTTAAAACTAGCCTAGAGTGACATCTCATGTTAAACACTAGCCTAGAGCACCATGTGCTATCAAAAACTAGCGTGGATCGCCATGTGCTGTTTAAAATTAGCCTGAAGCACTATCTGTTGTTTAAAAATTAGCCTAGAGCAATGTCTCCTGTTAAACACTAGCCTAGAGTGCCATGTGCTGTTAAAAACTAGCCTAGAGCGCCATCTGCGGTTAAAAATTAGCCTAGAAGGCTAAATAAACTAGCATAGATAACCATGAGCTGTAAAAACTAGCCTAAAACACTATCTGTTGTTAAAAATTAGCCTTGAGCGCTGTCTCCTGTTAAACACTAGCCTAGAGTTCCAACTGCTGTTTAAAACTAGCCTAGAGCACCATCTGCTATTAAAGTTAAGCAGGGAATCGATTCAAGAAAGAGTAATGCACTTTGAAAATCTCAGAATCATTGCAGAATCGATCTGTCAAATTATTTTGGTCACAACTCTAATGAATATAGTTTAAATCTAACCAGTGTTTAGCTCATCATATCAAACCATATCACATTTTATCGCTATACTTTGTTCTCACATGGTTAATGTTAACAACATCAGCATTGGGTGCATTTAGTGTGTATTAGCATTGCCTGTAGATTTCAGCTCCTCTGTCGTCTCTAGTTGTCATACTTTTTAAATTTCATATAAAAACAGATAAGATTAATTAATCTGCTACCTTTAGCATCTTCACATGTGATGAAGTCTACTAGCTGCGAGTAAGATGAAATAAGACAAATGTGTAAAAAAAACATTTGAGTTAGCAAATATTGTAACAACATAACTGTTGTGAAATCTAAGAAGATAGCTTTCTGGTAATGTACTTGCTAATAAAAGTAAAATTTTGGATCCCTTTTAACCTAAATAAAAGTGTTGGACGGTGGTTTTAAAATCATTGTTGTCTTTGTTGGTGAACAAAGAATGATTTCTTTGATTTAGAGGATTTACGCAGACTGTTGAAAGCCGACTCTTTCACAGCTCCGCCATCATCATGTGACTGAGAGTGTGAAGGCAGACAGATGGCACTGCTGGCACAGATGTGCACTATGCCAGAGATAAAGCAATGCATGAATCGTCCGTGGAAACAATTAAAATGACCCATGGAACAAATATATTCCTCAGATGTAGCTCTTTCACTTCTGATGAGACTTAATTGAGTTTTTAGATGCTTTTTACACTGCATTTAACCCTAGATTAGCATCTTGGGTCTTGTTGGGTAAGCTAGTAAAACACACCGGCATCCAAAACAATGGCTCTGTTCCAAAACCTACAAAGCCATTTTACTGTGTGCAGCCTATTAAGACAACATCCTAAAAATCAACTACAAGAGATTCAAAATGAACTAATTTACAAAAAAATGTACCAAACAAACATCCATATATGATAGATTAATAAGACTGAAGTTAAACATGTATAATATACACTTCAAAATGCCTTTCTTACTTAGATTTCTGTCTAAATTCTGTCTGATTTCTAGACCAAATATCTATAAATTCTTAAAACAAGAAGCATTTTCTAGACAAACAAAAACATTGTCTAGTTTTAAGAAATAATATGCCAAAATTAAGAGTTTTCTTTCCTTAAAACAAGCCACTTAATCTGCCAATGGATGGGGTAAACTAAATAATCTTATTTGAAAAAAAACAACAACAACATTATTTTGCTTACCCCATTGGCAGATTTTTTTAATCTAAATATCTACAGTATATTAGGAATAATTTTAGTGACACTAATTTTAGTGAATCAAAGACAAAAGTATTCAAGAGTAATACACCACTGTTATTATTTTTTTAACACTAAAGCCTATTTAGAGCAATTTGAAGCATATCTAGAAGCATATTTGATGACAAAAGGAAAAAATAAATTAGAAAATATCACTACGTTACAAAGCATGCGAACTATCTCAGATGCAGAAAAGCTAGTTCATGCTTTTATGACTTCTAGACTGGATTACTGTAATGCTCTGTTCACTTGTTGCCCAGCAGCCTCTGTTAATAAACTTCAGTTAATGCAAAATACAGCTGGCAGAGTTTCTAGGAGTTAAAAAAAAAATCCCCCCCAATTTTATCCTCCTTACACTGGCTGCCTGTTAAGTTTTGAATTGATTATTAAATATCGCTTCTTATCTATAAAGCTTTAAATCAGGCATGTCCAAACTCGATCCTGGAGGGCCGGTGTCCTGCAAAGTTTAGTTCCAACCCTAATCGGACACACCTGGGCTAGCTAATCAAGCTCTTACTATGCTTCTTAGAAATATCCTTGCAGGTGTGTTGAGGCAAGTTGGAGCTAAAATCTGCAGGACACCGGCCCTACAGGACCGACTTTGGACACCCCTGCTTTAAATAATCTACCTCCTGTTT